CGCATCGAAGTCGACACTTCTTTCCCGATCGTTTCGAAACTAACGGTCAACTTTTACAAAGATTGTCGGACCATCATTGGACTGCGGATCTCCATGCAGTCTGTGTTATTAATACACAGTACTCTAATCACTTACTCTAGTTTACTCTAGGTAAGCATTTCATGATTTTTTTTCTCAATATACAATTGAGAATTGACTCAACTATTTTTCAGAATTTAGTCACGATCAATTTCCCCTTAGTTTTTTAGAAGTAAAGTTTGATACCTGTTTCAAGTGATGTTGACTTGATAAATTTTTGAAGATTCCCGAAGCTTTTCCTCAGAAAGTTTGCACAAAAGTACATGTCTCTATTTGCAAGTGCCTATAGATGCTAAATAAGCTTTCTATCCCGTGAAATTAATCAAGGATAAGCAGCCGGAAAATGGCTAATGACAATTCATCGAATTCGACGATTCTCGCTATAACAACATAAATATTTCGTCTTTTTCTAATCTCCTTCTTATATATTAACTATTTGTTGTGTAAAATAATTTAATGGCGCATCCAAAGCTCACTCGAGAAAAAACATTGGCACGTAGGTAGAAAAAAAGTTTGGCCAGGCCTGTTCTGCATAGTTCGTGCATAGTTCTGGGCAACTTTCGACTTGAAAGAGAAGCAGGTTGAAACGAAAACGGTATGGTTAAAGTCATGGAGGGATGAAGCTGGCCTTGTTTCCAGCCCCGATGAAAGTTGGAGAACGCGGCTCGGATCTCTTTCACGCGGCGTGAAATCCCATCTGGAAATCGAGCGAAACTCGCCGATCGGTGGAGATTCAGCGGGGGATCTCGGGTCGTGGATAAGAGCGTGGCGGTGTAGCATGTCGGAAATTATAGGGTGTTACTCGCGAGGCATCGCACGAGCCAGGCCGCGCGATTCGACGATGATAGCGTTGGCTAGGGCAGCGCGGTGCGAACTCTCCGCTCGGCAAGAGTTAACCAAAAGGGAGAGGAGGGAGTGGAGGGAGGAATATACACGCGTTTATAAGATCGATTTTAATAGAGACTCGGTTACAATTATGAGACCGGGTAATGGAGACCGGCGCTCATTACCTCGCTAAACTGGAACTAATTATTATGTTTCACGGCGCGTTGCGATAATTCCAGAACTCTCTGGAGGGCGTAGAAAAGCGCGGCAAGAGAGAGAGAGAGAGAGAGAGAG